TTATGCACAGTATAAATGTAGCAACGCAACTATGCAGAAAATACAAAACAGATACCTTTTCATGTTTTTGTTCAAATACACCCAGAAAAGAACATGTGGGGGATCCTGCAACTTTACTGTGGGTTTGTCCCAATAGTCCACTTTGTGTAACATTCTGATCCTTTACATAGTCCCTCCAGTTTTTAACCTGCTATCCTAGCATTAGGCCTCCACACAAAGTTATATTGTTTCTTGACATTGGCAACCTCACCAAATTACTCAACCAATCACAGCGTAATTTTTTCATACGTTTTTTCTAAAGCCAATTATGCTGGACTTGGCCCAAACACATATTCATTTGAATCCATTTTGCTTTAAAAGTATGTTTTCTTCAGGAGAACATCTCTGAATGCGAAGTCACGTTTCCACATTCAGTGGCGGGAGAAGTAAGAAAGAAGACATCTGCAACCCAAACACTGGGTATACCCACCAGAAGTTTGCCATGATCTGTTCGAACAGTAGGAATTCGTTTAAAGGACGCTGGGTTACGTTGGTTATTTTGGGGCTTTATTTAACAAAAATACTTTGTCACAAAACACTTTTTAACAGAACAAATGAATTGTCCTGCGATGATTCTGAGATGTATTTGTTGTTTGGGCCAAGGTGGTGGGTGTTAACAAGCCTGGTGGACGCCACATTTCAGACCCCTTTGCCCTTCATATCCAGAATGGTTTCCTTTTACATCATGCCACTAATCCGCTTCTTGGGTGTACGACCAGGAGAAAACACAACACATACACACACACACACACGTCGTTGGCACACCACCCACTGCCAGTCTAAAATCTCTGGCAGCAAGCTGGGCTTGGGTGCAAGTTAAAGGAAGGTACCAGCGTGGGTTCTGCATTCTTCCCCTGCAACGGGGTTTCCTGGCCTAAACTCAACTCTGAGCAAACACATAGACACCAAACAAACACACGACACACCACACAACAGAAACACACTTATTTAAGATGCACAACACACGTCGCTGTATGTGGTCAAAGAGATGCATGATGCAAGAAGCAGGATTGAAGCTTGATTTGCTCGGTCGTCTTTCGAGTTCAGGTAGAACCACCAAGTCCCCCAGGTAAGATATGGCACAGGAAAGAGAGGCGTGGTTGTGCAATCCTCAGCAGTTGGGTTTACATAAGAACTCCGGCAACACGATCTCAGTCAAGCTGAATAAGCAGGGGGATAAAATCATCAGCTGGTTTTTGATTTCAGTAGAACCGAGGGGGAACCATTAATCTATAAGTGGGCGACAGTGGTCGGAAAGGACTCGCGAAAAAGGAAAATAAAAGAAGATAATAAATAAATTAACTTTTTGAGATGGAAAAAACCGCCACGCCAGCGCAATACAGGAGGTAGATAGAGAGAAGGATAAAACTAACAACATGTTATGGTCCAGGTAGTTGATGGCACAGCGGTGAGATATTATAAGAATAATATAAGATGAATAGATATAATATGCAGCTATTATTTTACATTCAGGTGGAGCTAGTTTTGGTTTATAACAGCGAGATAGATACTTATTCACAAGGAAGGAAGAGAGAGAAAAGAAGAATAATATATAGGACAAAGATTAACAAGACTTTAATATCAAGGGTAAACAACAATAAGATTTAGCGAGATAAGATAAAGAAGAAGAGAAAATGAGCAGAAGATAGAGAAAACTAAATATACAGAATATATGTGTATAATATAATGATATAATATAGACCCCCCATTTCTATCACGCCCCTGCTATTTGTCTACCTTGCCCGGAATAAAGAATAAAAATTATAAAATACAAAGGGAATAAATAGGTAGATTAATAATATATAATAATTAATATTTAGAGTTATAAAAATAATATACAACTGGTAAAATAATAATATATATAAATTATTTAAATGTTATAGAAACAAAATGGGGGAATCATATAATATAATATAGAATAAAATAATATAGATTATATAATCAAAAAAAAAAATACTCCCTGTTCTTCCTTTTGATTTTTCATTGACCTTGGAAAGAGCCGTGAGTGGCAGAGTCTTTTTAATGTAAACAACGTTTCTGAGGATGCACAACGGCCCTTCTCCCCTGTTGGCATTGGATTTTTTAACCTCGTGGAACCTGTGGGTCCTAACGAATCGAGAAGAACCCGGTATCGCAGCAACGCTCACCTCCTCTTGCATAAATGCGATGAAATAAACAACACAGTGTGTGGTTGCGCCATCATAACGAGGTGTGGTTTTGTGGTGGGATGTGTGTTGTCGTGTTGGGTGTGGTGTGGTGGTGTGCATGTGTGGCTGGCCTCCAGAAGGTTGAGTGTTCTTCAGCAGGCGCGACCCGTCGCGCAGGAAGAAAGCACGAACACGCTGTAACCTTCCTTTACCTCAGCCCGACCGACAGCCGTCAGCTTTTGCTGGCCAGAGTTTTCTGCAGTGTTGCGGTGGGTGGTGGCCCAAGCGCAGGTCTGTCGGTGCTGGTCAGGTGGTGGTAGGTGTGGTGTCCCTGGGTTCTCCTTCACAGCAAGGCGCATTCGTCAAAGTCGGAGATTGTAACTCGAAACACCATCTGAATTGAGGGCACAGGGTTCTGATCGTTGGGCTCCACAGCCCTTGCTCTACACCCCGCAAACAACTGCAAAACCAAATAACTCTCAGAAAGTTCATGCATCGCAAGGACCATCATGGTTCTTCCTGACTTTAGAAAAATGTTTGGTGTGGACAGTTTATTTTTCTGTGGCTAAAGCCCGAACCTCGCGCCCGTTACCCGCTTCTTTCTCGCATTCTTCCTACGTTGCTTCTCGAACAGAGTTCCTGGCCAAAACTTCCCTGGTGTTTGGGTTTTAAATAACCAGATTGTTGGCTTGTCGCAGATGTTCCTCTCTAGGCCTCTCCGCACTGACCGCGGGAATTGTGGAAGGTGGAAATTTCGCATGCAGGCAAGATTCTCCTGAGGAACGACCACGTAGGCCAAACAAAATGGACATCAATTAGTGGGTTGGTTGGTTGTGTGCCAAGGTTCTCAGGCAAAGTATGTGCTTTAAAAAATAAATGAAAAAAATACCTGGTTATTCGCAAATGATTTTATATCAACGTTGTCCAAACAAATATAAGCATTTTTTGTGTTTTGAAGGCCAAACTGCTAGAATAGCAAAGATGTTGTTAAAAAATGAGGGACCTTTATAAAACGACTAAATGTTTTAACAGTGACCCTATGGACAACAGCAAATTGGCAAGAATCCACAGTTCTTTGTTGGTATTGAAAATTAAACCTTTTTTTAATTACCGCGCCATACGGGGTCTGGTGGCTGTTATTCGTTAAATACTATAACCAAAAGTTGGTGTAAAATGTATTTTTTTAAAATCAAATATGACCGTGCGTCCCTTTGCTTACAGTGATCACCAGACATATCAAATTATCATCTGCCAAACTCCGTAACCTCCTGCCAACTCGGTGACTGAACTCCAACCTGATTCCTTGCAAAATGCCCCACGGCATCAAATTGCTTGTTTATATTGTAGTAAAGTTATGTTACCCGACTGTGTGTGGGTATCAACTGGTATGCGGTAATTGTGTGTGTTGTTTGTGTTGTTCTTTGGTGTGGGTGTGTTTGGTGTTTGTGTGGGTGGTGAGGTGGGTGGGGGCGCCTTGATGTCTCTGCTCTGGTTGTGCCTTCTTGGTTTAGATCTGACCGTCCGGGGAAAGCACAATCTACTATTTCCTCATAAGAAGCCCTGAACGGATTCCCTGGAGACTGAACCACATCTTTACCTACCCAAATCGATCCCAGCAAGGCCTTCATGGCACGCAACAACCATAAAACACACACACACACCAAACACCAAAAACACCCAAACAATAACCACACACAACTGTGGAGGTCTTTAAAGGCAGGAAAAGGGGAAAAAGGGGGCAAAAAGAGAAGAGAAAAATGAAAGTGGGGGTAAGAAAAAGGACGACAGGGCACAAGGGCCTTGAAGGAAGAGAGGGGACAGTAAAGAAAGTTTTTTGTAAACAGACAATGACAATAATGAAACCCGGTTTGGGGACTAACAGAATTTTCCCCTTTTCTTCATTTTTTCCCCTTTTGACCTTAAATAAAGTTTGGATAAAGTTTTCATTTCAAATAAGAAAACACCCGCCATTTTGAAAAATGCCCAATATGTCAAATCAATAATGATGTTATTTGGAAAGATCTTTCATTCTAGAGGGGAAGTAAATTGCCAAATAATAATATGATGGAAAAGACGGCATGGAAATAATGAAAGTTTTTTCTTTATCAAATAAGGCAAGTAAAAGTACTTAGTTTGGGGTACCAAAACAGTTTAGAGCCTTTGATAAACATGTTTTCAAAAGTCGTTTTCCTTGCGAGGTCCCAACTGAAAATATAACATTCCACATTTCACCATATATTCGACTGTAAAGCAAATTCATCAAATCAGTATACTTTTAATTTTTGGAAATACAAAAGCCATTAAATTACACTTGGAAAGTTTTGTGAAATAACGAACGTATTTTAACCTCCCCGTACATGACGAAGATCAAACTTGTTTTTAAAACAAACATGTTGC